CCTTAAAGTGATGTTACAGAATATTGATCCACAATCCACTTGCTGATAACACATCAACAGTAATGCTACACCCTGCTGTGGGATTCCCTTCGCAGCCTTGGCTTCGGTTTTGGTGGTTGTTTATTTTTTGTGGTGGCGGTGTTTGTTGGTTTTGTTTGAAACAGATGGAAGGGTTTCTGGAAGTGGTATAAGCAATAGGCTGCATGTGCTTGGAGTAGGAAAGGCCAGAAAGCTTGGGTTGGGGGCAATAAAGCAAGAAAGGAGAATGAGCCTTTCAGTAGAAAAGGCGAGTAGTAAAATCCTTGCTGCCAAAACCAACACAGCTGATGATCGCAGCAGCAGAGGAGTCTCCCCCATGCATTGGAAGTCTCTGCCCTCTGCCGGCATTGCTGAAGATCAGCCTCAGCAGAGCCCAGGGAGCCGGTGATCGCATCCCCGAGCAGTCCCCGCAGACGGTGTCGAGACTGGCCGTATGTACAAAGCCAATCCTTTAGAACACGGCGTCTCAGGAATGACAGTGTCTGACAGGGATCTGAATCTCGAGTGACATTTGCTATTGACTTCAGCAGTGCTTTTCAGATGTCTGCCTACTTCTCACCTTGTTCCACACGACAAGGGTTAGTCTGTACCATCTCCGCATGCTATTACAGCCCCATCTGTTTCCTTCCAGCGAGCCAATACGAGGAAGAAACAAGATAATAAATGTTACTTTTTCTCGTAGTGGTAGTTTTCATTCCACAAGAAAAAAATCGTGCCTGTTTAGCATAATGAATTATTTCAACAAAAGGTTTTAAAGTGTAATTTTGGGTGAATGTAGCACTGCAACCACTGAATGACTCAGCTACCGTCATATTTGGAAACCATTCCATCTGTTTTCCTTGGGGCACAGAGCCCTATTTTAAACCTTCGTTTTGTGGCAATTGTTATTAGCTAATTAGTAGAAAACTAATTCTCCCATTAAAAACGTAACTTTGAAAAACTAATTAAACCTGTTGGTAAAATAATGTGGATTGTAATTCCCAGTGAAATCTGAAAACATTTAAGACTCAGTCCTGCAATGAACCGAAGGTTCTGCAAAGCAGCAGGACCGTACGTGGGTCAGACTTGCCAGGATGGCGGCCGCAGCCCGAACAGCAGCTCAGATTCTCACCCACCTACACCTGAATGTCGAAACAGCTTCTTGTCCAGTATTCAGAGGTCCTTGGATTTGTAATGATACTACTGATACTCTACTGTACAAGTCTCTCTTATACTTCCTCGTGCTTCATTAGAACCTACCTTCTTTAGATCTGTAGAAGAAAAAAATATTGACACAGACAGAAGGGACCTGTGCCAGCTGCTGTGGCATTCTGGCCAAGCCGTATTCCATCTCAGGCCACGTGTAACAGCCACCCCATTTGGGGGGAATTGTACCTATGTGTCTACGGATGTACCCTGTAGTTGCATATCTTTCCAAAGGCACATTGGCTCAGGTCTGGAAACATCCCTTTGCTCAGAACAAGGGGTAGACTGCTGCTCCTGTAAAAACCAGAACGCTAAGCACAAACGGGTTAGAGCGTAAGAGTAGGACTGGTCTGCGTAGCACCACCTGTGGTTTATTTTTCAACAGACCTCACCGAACTCTTTCTTTAGTAAGCAGCAGTACGCACCTTTGAAAGGAGGTTGTACAGAAAAGTGCCTTATTAAATTGGCTCTGTGCATGTGAATTTTTTTAATATGACACCAGTACAGTCCTAAATAAAAAAAAAAAAACTGATAAATTCAGCTTCTTAATATATGTAAGAAATTAATTAATATTGCATTCATTCTTTAAATTAAAGGAAGATTACTTCAGCAGTATGGCATTGTGGGCGGGGGTGCCATATAAACAGTAAAACACACTGAACAATTCAGGGGTTCTCAACAACCCCGAGTGGCAATTCATCAGACACTATTTCTGTAAGAAGCACTAACGCATCTGCACCCACGGCAAGCGGGTTGGGCTAGGTGGCCTTCAAAGGTCCCTTCCACCCAAACCATTCTGCAATTCCATGAAAATCTTCACAACAGACCTGCAGCCTTCAGTTCTACGTGTGTGTTCTGTATGGATTAACTCGCTCCAGCTCCCACAGACTACGTCTCTCCTCCTCATTGCGGCATCAACCAATCTCCGAGCCTGTGGAAGGAGCCAGAAGTTTGCAGTCTCAGGGTGGCTTTTTCTCCTAGACAGTTACTTCACTGGAATAAAGTCTGTAGAGACACAGGATTAAACTGGTCACATAAAGCCTCTTTTCCATCCAGCTCCCCAGGCTAAACCTCTCACCACCAGCAGCAAGCTTGACATATGCTTGCCAGCACCTCCATCCTCACTCTCAAGCTTTGGTAACATCATTTGTTTATCTTTCCACTCAGACCTGCAATTGATAGAAGTTAATAACCCAGTCAACCGTCTTCCATTCACAGTTGTGTTTTAGCACTATTCCCTTATTCAGTGTTTCACTCCTCTTACACCGCTACAGCCAACATGCTGTTGGATCCAATAGCTATGTTACTGCTTCTTATCCAGTAGGCACCAGTACAGCCTGAATGAAGACACTGGGAGAGACACCTTTTAGGTAAGGGAGGAATGGCTGATGTTTTCTACCATTCTGCTCCCTTCAAGCAAGAGTGGAAGAAGGAAAGCTCAGTTGAGGACAGTGTTCCTGTTACTGTGTTCACACTCCATTCAACATGGATTTCTTCCACCTCACGAGTTTATACAGCTACTCTGCTTTGCAATAACCATGGCCTTTCATTTACTCAGCAGTGTGAGGTACGCACAGCAAGGCCCAGTGAGGCACTGAACTGGTGCTGGAGCTACAGCTGCAGAGGTGCAGCAGCACAGAGGAGCTGGTGGCACTCCTTCATGTCCAACGCTGCCCTAACACAGCTGTTAGGCTTCTCACGCAACGAGACAACTAACCAGGTTTGGTCTCCACAAGCTTAGCAACTCTCTCCATGGCATAGCAGACACCTCCCCTGTTTTCGAAGCTTCTCTCTAGTCAACACTGGCAGAGCATCTCGGTCAGAACCACAGGTTTGCCTCAGGTTTTCCTACCGGGCCCACCAGATCTTTCTAGTGAAGCAGGAGAAATCAATCTACCTTCCGAAATGCATGGATCACACCTTGTCTTTTTCTGACCTTTTGTTCCCTAACAAAATTTAAACCTGTTTTCCGTCTTTCTTCCGGTATGATCTCAGTCACAACCTTCAACTTAATTCCACGTGACCAATGACCAGCCATTAGCCTTTTTCACCAGTTAATTAATAACAAAATGAAGGTCCAGGTATGTGAGCATAATCTACAATAGATGCCCGAAAAACCCCTGTAGCTCTTCACAGGTAGATTCTCTGCTTGTCTTAGTCCCATTTGCTGTCTTATCATCTGCCACAGCAAGTTCTAGATGCCCAAAAAACCCCTGTAGCCCTTCACAGGTAGAAGATTCTCTGCTTGTCTTAGTCCCATTTGCTGTGTTATCATCTGCCACAGCAAGTTCCGCAAAAATACCCAGTAGCCATACAACCTGCTAGGTCCTTGGCCCTGTGCTCCTACACAGCTGTATAAATGCACATCTGGAATCCCAGCTGTGCTCTTTTCACCATTCAAGAGTTTGACCTGCTCTTCAAGGAGCTTCTGAGACAACTCAATAGATGTTTGCAAGACAACACAACACAGCAACTTGAGAACAGCTTGGAAGTTCAGTTAGCTTGGCAAAGGGAAACCTTCAAACCACATAAGCTTGTAGAAGGGTAGCTCCTCTCTCTTCCAGGATAATCAAGTACCACCTTAGTGTTTCACTCCTTATGAGTGCCTTGCAGTTTTCATCTGTCCTCTTCGCCTGTAGAAACTGCTGGCCAAACAGTACAGTTGCAAGTCATCCATTTAACATCAAAAGCAGCTTCATGAATTGACAGTTGTTGACTAGTTTGACAGGACATAAAAAAATCCTCTCTACTAGACCTCTGCATCCAGCAAAAAAAGTAAAAGGACAGTCATACCAAAAAAAGTCTATCATGCAGCCATATGACCATGTTAAAACGGACATGGGCACATGGGACTTTTCCTAGAGGGAAAAGGGGAGAGGTTTCCTGACTCATGGCAGTAAATCCTTCCCCAGCACAACCTTGAAGTTAAAAAAAGTGCACAGAGAGAATGCACATACAACTTTGCTTGTTTAATTATTTTCAAGGTGTTCCAAAACCCGTACTGGTTCCTTTAAGTCCACACTCAGCATAGGCAATACTTTCACTCTGCAACCAAACTGTATTTCCATGGAATGTAGCTGGACTAACAAGAGCATTGGCTCCCAATGAAGGCCTGCCTCTACGCATGCCTAGCAGCACCTTCGCACCTCTGCCACAGACATCCATTTCACACAGCACGATCAGAAGGAAATACACAAAAAAATAAAGTCCTTTGCCATGACTGAACTGCAAATTCAGTTAAACTGCTTAAAATGCTATCCAGGTATTTGGATTAGTGACGGAAACAGCCCAGAACATAAAACAATATACATTTATTTAGCACAAAAAGTTGATTATCAAGTAGAAGTGGGTATGCTTTTCCTAGTACTTCTTCGCAGCACTTCGCTTTCTGAAAAAGACCCATCATGACTCACACAAAGACATACTGATCATTTGGCAGAACGACTGTTTTATCCTACAGCTGTGGGCCTGATAGCAGCTTATAAACTGTAAGGCAAATTAAGAACTCCTTCTCAAGTGAGGAATCTCTGTACAGTTCCATTAACTCAAGTGGAACATTCACAAGAAGTGTGTTACGAGACCAGGACATTATATATGACTACGTTTCCTTTAATTACAGCCAACATGATATGCACGGGGAGGGTTATATTTTCAGACAGAAAAAGACAGACCAAGTGCCAAAAGATTCACAATAAGTTGCCAGAAACACTGAGAAAAAAAATCCAACTATTATATATGTGATTACATGATACAATTAAGCACAATGCCCATTTCAGAGAAAACAGGTAAACTGACAGGTAATGCTCAGACACCTACAGTCTTCAAGCCTGCAACTCTCATCTGGAGACAAAGGCTTGACACTTGTTGGCAAAAAAATGCTGATAGCTTACAACTGACAGCACAGAAACATTACTTGAAATCTGGGTCCATTAGTGACATAACTACAATCACTGGGTACAGAAGACCATCCAAATTATACCGGCAGACAGATTTTTCCACAGCTTCTCCTTTGATGAAGTTCTGCCACCTGAAGTGACTCACATCAAAGATGTGCTGCTGCAACTAGTTCAGTCTTCCCTCCTGTAGTTATCACCTGGATAAGACTCCCCGAGTTTGGTCGATTCTTTCCCGTTATCCAGTCGTAAAAGGTTCTGTTTTAAAACAAATGGATAAAACAGGGTGAGAAGGGGAAAAAAAAACCCCACTATCGGTAATATTCACAGGAAGCATAAAATAAATGCCTATTACTTTTCTTTCTTTTCTTATTGCCCTTTCTAGCAGTTTCTACGTATGCTGTAAACCAGCAATGCAATCACTGGATCCAGACTCTCAAGGGAATCAGTAGGGCTTTACATCACACACACAGGATTTGCAGAACATCCAGAGGAAAAGGCCAGGAGCTGAAAATGTCAGTGGCAAGTTTTTTCCCCCACCCAAGTTAAAAAACCAAAACAACAACAAAAAAATAGAAAAGGGTAAGGAGAGGTTACTTAAGTTGCCTTTACAGTATATATCAGAAACACAGATTTAAGGCTAGAGTTGCTAAACCCACTACTCTGCCAACATGCCATTACAACACTTCGATATCTAATGGAGAAAATGGTCTCAGCAGAAGCACAGAAAGCCTTAAAACATCTAAAACAGTGCCAAGTAAGATGCACTCACGCTAGGCAGCACACCAGAATGCTCCTTAGCAAGATGTAATACAAACTCCTTACTCAAAATATAAAACAGGAAGTGCACTGTATTTTTCAGGTCCATCAACCCTTCCAATATTGCAGACAAGCTCCACTGCCACATTGGAACACCCTGCGATCTGACACAACGGCTTCCAGGGCACAAAATTCAAGTGCCATACAGGAAAAGATGTCCTTGATCCTTCCCAAAATGCAGATATTACCAACACTTAACAACATTGGATGTTTTTCTTCCACAGCCAGTGAGATTTTCAGTTTTCAAAGCTGGATTTCAAGCTTAGGGAATTAGGACCCAAGAAACAAACCAAACCAATCAACCTAATTCTCCCATAAGGAAAAAATACTTGAAAGTTGAAATTTTAAAAATGTATTTGTAAAACCACAACATCTGGCTACGAAGTTTCTGGAGCACAATAAATTAAAGATCTTCTCTGAACATTTTTAGGCCACCTAAATTCAATTGATGAGGCCCTTCTGAAGGGCCACATCAAACAGTTGCATAGGCCTCTCACAAGAAAAACCATTTCCCACTTTGACATCCAATTAAAAAAAAAAAGAGGAAATCCAGTGTCAGAACTACTCTGAACAATTAGGAATATGTAAATGCAATTTCAGTGTCGGTTCTAAAAGACCTGAAAATTGTGTAAGAGAAAGGGCTTTCCAATATATGAACATAGATTCATCTTTGGTTTTCCTCGGAGGCCGGAGTGGTGTCCTTATTTTCTTCCTTTCGACAGCCTGCCCACAGCAGTCTTCACTACTCCCCATCGCAGTGCAGAAAGCAGTACCTGCCCTCTAACTGAGCAGAATGGGAAACAGTAAGCCTTAGCACCTCAGCCTGCTGTTACACAAGCTGCAGCTGAAGCTTCAGCATTCTGCAACGTCATTCAGACAAGCCTTTGTGGATGATGGAAAACAAAAAAGATCTTGACTAAATTTTTCTGAGCAAGAGCAGGAATTCTGCCAGCTGAGAAGTGAACTAACACACCACAGACTGGGCAGTACAGAGGGTTTAGAAGAAGGAAAAAACCCACCGGTTTACATGCCTATCTGCAGTTTAAGACAGACTACTGTCTCCTGCATCTGCTCTCTGCAATTTCATCTGTCTACAGGCTTGATGAGATTCTCTGGCTTCCAGCTACTTAAGGCTATCTCCTTTGTCAGAATAACTGGTGGAAGATGTGAAGTTGACAGAGTTGGGCTAATTTTCTCCAGGTAAGAAGCCTGTGCAATGAACCCAACGTGATTTACAAATGTACACAATGAGGAAAAAAACCCACCCAAATCCAAAACACCCATTTACAAAGAACATGCAATAAGATGCAGCAGCAAGAGGGACAGTGAGGAATCGCTCAGTTTTCACACAGATACTCACTCAGCAATGAATTCTAAGGGTGTCCAGGAGCTGAAATCTGCGTCAGGCATTGATTTCCTGTTCGCTGGTGTATCTAAGGTGATCCTGTGATTAAAAAAGATAAGCCTTTTATTTATACATCATGTTTCTGATAAGCGCCACCTGCTTCTGTTCTATGCTTGACTTTTATACCACGTGCTGTGGATTTCCTTCACACCCTCTACACATGTCAACAGCATATGGCCATCAGTTTCCATGTAGATCAAAGACTCCACCTCTAACCCCTCACCTTCCTGGCTTGCTGATGACATCCAGCCCATCAGGGCAATCCCTGAGCCCACAGCTCCCTTTCAGCCTCTCTCATGCAGACCATGAAGGCAGCAATATGCCTGTTCGCACGAGCTGCCCAGCACATCTGCGCTACCTCCGTGCTGTCAAACAGCCTCACGCCAGCAAGCGCAGAGATTAAGTGCGCAAACATAGCAAGTTTTGACCTTGACAATACATATTTATGCTACATATGACATTAAGGGGTGAACTTTTCACAACTCCCTCCTCGAGATGTTGCTGATAATCCAAGGTATAATCACGCTCTCAAAAATTCACTCAAAACCAGACTTTTGCATGAGAACTATGCAAATGCAAAATGCCCGGAAGTCCAGTGATCTTGGCCTATCTAAAACTCCTATAATTTTATTCATACATTTGAGATGCCCCCTTTCTCTGTGAGAAGCTGTTTGTGTACTGTGACCAGGACACTGCAAGCACACCCATGTGACTACGGTTACAGCAGTAATTAAATAAAACAACGCAGGCAGAGACAACTAGGCAACCACTTACGGTAAAATGGCAACAGCAGCAGACCCAGATGGCAAGCCGCTATTGGCACCAGCTAAGCTCTGACAAAGCTGATGCACTGCTCCTTTGGCCATGCCATACCCAATCATCCCTAACAATTAAAAACAGGCAAATTAGAGCACAACCAAAACAGCTCTCATTATCATCAGTAGCATGATAGAAACTCGGATCATTTGCTGAATATTAAGACCACTTACCAAAGCCAGAACATAATCAGACTTTTAAAGCATCGATACATACATATTAAAGGGAAAAAACAAAAAGCTCTTCTTAGACATCCAGGAACTACCACAGAATTCCGTTTACTCAGCACTACAGAAATAAGCAGCTTACCGAGTTAAGAACATTTAGTTAATGTAGCCAAGTGTTCCCTGAAGGATGGGAGCTACATGGCTAACCTTGCAAATCTAATGGGTAGTGTGATGATGCTCATAGACTTTAACGAGGCAATCATTCATTAATTTTAATCATGTGACTAAGGAATTTGCAGGTTTGGGCCCAAGCACATACAGGTCACTACTCTCCAGAAGTGTAATTCACTTGGTCAGCATCCCAAGTCTGACAGGCCCTTTGGAGAAAACTTCAAAAAACTCTCTCATAGCAGAAAATCACTAAATAACCTGCAGATAAAGCAAACTTCTTCATGAACACTGATGCTTTCTAGGCAGACAGAATTTAGCAGGAATAAAAGTATAAGGCACACTGGTCAGGTACAAGACCTGGGTGCTGTAGGTCTGAGATGTCTCATGGTATGTACCTGCCAAGCAGCCTAGACAGATTAAGCACATCAGAAAACATGAAGGTATTTTGCCTACTACAACTGGATGCCTTTCTACCCCTCTACATACCTACACAACCCCTTTCCAATGTTCCTCAGGAAGTCTTTTGTATGAGTTACAAAGGTAATTATGCGCTGTAGAAGCGTTTCTATTATATTCGGTTAAACCTATTGTACAACATCCATTTTTGTTGGGAGGAACCACGGGCAGCAGCAGCTAACTTATTTCATAGTTACAATAAAAACATTCGTATCTCTATCATACTCTTGTCTAAAGAGAACATTCCAAGTCTCCTTAAACCTTTCCGTGCTTCTGTAGCCACTGTCAGACTGTTTCTGTAAGGTCTATAAAAAGTTTACAGTATTCTTCAATCTGCATTATGACAGTCAACATTTTTGCACAGGAAAAGAACAATCACACTAACAGCAAACAAGAATGATTATTCTTCCCATAACGTCTGGTAGTAACAAGCCTAACAACTCGTATTTGCAAAAGTTGAGTAACATCTCTTTCCCAATTCTTCCTGATGTTAATAAGTTGCATGTGTTTGCTCAAAGCACTGCTGTGTTTTTTAGAAAAATCCAGACTCATTGAAACCAGCTAGTTCAAAACATTAAAGCAAATTATTCCAATTCTTGGGCTGTGGCCCCTACCTCCCAAAACCACCCAAACAAAAACCAGGAAAGTTTGCCAGAGTTCACATTTTTTCATTTGCACATGGTCATCAGTAGTACACAGTAAATTATTCATCTGCTTATTCTCACAAAATGAGCCTTTTATCTTCAGACTATGCCAGATGCAGCTGTAAAGACAGAAGGTAAGACATTACCCAGAAAATACAGAATATTTTTCCTGAACAGTTTTAGACAGCTTTCAGGAATATTCATATATTTCATAACATGTTTTACAAGTTAGTATCTATGTCTCATCTAAATATTGTTGAAGTCACACTATGAAAAGATTGAGAAACAAAAGTATTTGTCTCAAAAAAACCCCTTTCCTCTCCCTGCCTGTGGGCTTGTGTGGCAGTGCTTTAATTTTTTTAAATTTTAAATTGCTCCCAGATTTTTTTCCCCTCCACACAGACCAACTTGGCAAGGAGTGAGATGAAAAAACTCAGTAAAGTTTGTACTGAAGAGCTGGTGGAGGGCAAAGGTGAAGGTCAACAAGCTTATCTCTGACTGAAGCAAAGGTAGGCTGGAATCAGAACCTGAACAGGACAAGCACATTTAACAGATTCAGCTGAGTCATCACCAGTAGAAAAATTGGGCAATTACGGACTCTGCCTTTCAGAAGACACGTATGAGATTTACCTTTATTTAAGCACTACTTACAGCTTGCTGTGTGCTTCTATGCTTCATTATTTTCAAACATTTTTTACTGTATCATATATTAGCCAAGTACATTTCACCAGTGCACGTCAGATATTATTTAACTGCTGATTCTATCTCTTTGCACTCCAGCTTCAAGCGACTCAGTACTGCTGCCTGTAAAATTACACTTTCCTAAAGTGTTTCAGCAGCGATTTTCCATTTGTACTTGACATTAAGAAATTGGAGAGTGAAACTGCTGCTTCACAAACAAGAATGCTCAGACCAACAGCTAGCTATCACCGCTGGTGTTCCAGCAGCTATCATGCACTGCCTCTTACCTGGTGTTCCAGATAAAGCAGCTTGAGCTCCTGTCAAAGTCAAGAGGCCGCCTTCTTTCAGATGTTTTGTGGCTAGGTGGCTGGAAATAGTGGATGTCCAAATGCTCTGCTTCCACATCAGATCACAGTTTTTGTATAAAGCTGATCAGGAAGAGAATTAGTGAAATTAAAGATAGAAAACTTCTAACTCTTCATTTCCTTACTGTCACAGAGAGTGCAAACATCACTATGAGAACATGCTGTCTACCGCTTTCTACTTACACACTGGGTAAAATATCAGTGTATGTCTTTGTATCTTCCTTCTCTCTGGGCTCCGAGCCCCAGCTCTACAGCATATATTCTAGGCAATTACCTGTTTTCTCTCTACCAGCGATATAAAAAGAAACACAAGATAGTTCCATTAGCTATCCATCAACAGTTCGAAGGTTTCCAAGTTCTTGAAACTCCTGTAAGGGCTGCTGCAATCTGTATCAAGGATCTCACAACTCTCACATTAGCCTCATCTCACCTTGTAGCAGCATGATCTGTCCCTTTCCATAACTTCCTCACTGGCTGCAAAGGAGCTATGCTCCATCAAGTACGCAGACAGAAGAGGTAAAGGAATTGAAATTACTCCAAGAGGTAAAGGAATTGAATGAAAACTATTTCTTGTCACCAGATCACTTCATAAACCAAGACACGATATCTCTGTCTGAGAGTAGCACACCGGTACGGAATAACGACGACACATGCACCTGCACGGCACTAAGCGTGCATTCCAGTGCCCCTGCATACTGGGGCACAACCTCTGGGAAGGCAGCCTACCGGGGGGCGTACACCAATGACTTCAATTAAAGCAAAATCTGAACTCATCACTGGTTTTTTATTATCAATATCTGCATGGGAAAAGAAGAAAACCAGTAACTAGCCAGGTCAAAGATTTTAGTATTTGGAAAGAACCATTTCCATAACACAATAAGGAATAAGCAGAAGTAACGCCGTGACATAAGCTGGCCACCCATCCCAAGATATCCTGCTACCCTACCAATAACGTCACTGTAAGTTATGGTTATGACAAATTACCTTATTATTACCTAATCTAATATAACACAACTGTGGTGGAAGTGTGTTATGTCTTCCCATACTGCCTCTCCTAGAAAATAAATCCTTGCCTGTAATTTCCAAACTGGAAGGGGGTAGAAGATGACACATTCTACCAGATTTATTCCAGGCAGAAAACAAGGCACTTTGAAATTTTATACTGTAACCACTAGTGTGGAGATACAAGAAAAACATTCTGAATGCCTCAAAGCTGTTTTTAAACTGAAGGCTGTATTCCGTGCCATGATCCCATGGTTAGACAGCTCCTTCCGACACTGTATTGCACAGTGATAGCTCCGAGAGCTGCAGGAGGCACCTGAGGCTGTGCAAACAGCAATGAGTTAGGAAGCAACATCGATGTTTCCACCCAGCCACTGTCCTCTGCAACCTGCCCGACACAGGTAACCACAGCAGAAGTTAGTTCTTCAGCTGCAAAGCTGAACTTCTCCATAAAGTACAGCAACATTTTTCCAATGAAAACTGGTGCATCACAAAGCATTACTGAGAACACAAACACTGTGCAAATTTAACAGACAAAAATTCAGAGAAGCACTGTGGCTGAGCTATTTTGTACTTTTACGCTCACGTCCTCTTTGAGACTCACTCAGGAAATTATCTCCAATATCATTATTACCGTGATCTTTAAGGATCCCTCTCAGATTTCATTCATGTGTTTGCTAGCATGCATGTGCCGCGGGCTTACATTTAGCTTTGGCGCTGCCTCCAGCCCATCCTCCTGCTACACACAGGATTGCGTCCACCTTTTCTTCTCCAAGAAGTTTTCCAACCTCTGTTGTCACCTTCAATACACAGAACAAAAACATGCTGAAAACACTGGACTGAGAAGGTACAGGAGTAAATACCAAGACTGCCTTTAAGTTACACGTTTCCAGTTTCTTAGCAAAGTAACACAACACGCAACAACTCAAACAGCTGCAGAAAATTAACATTTATGATGAACTTGAATTAAAATAACTGTCTTGAAAGACACAACAATCGGTGAAAGTCAGACCGTACAGAACGTGATGTCACTGGAAATAACTGATTTGGGCAGGACTGAAAGATCTGACCGTTACCTGTATCATTACCCAGACTTTGTGACAGGGTGCTGTTTAGTATGAGAAGTGAAACTACAGGTCTGACCAGGCTACTGGTGTCACTTCCGATGGCAGTGTGAGAGATGAACAGCTAAAGATTAGTCTTCTTACTGCTTCTGTTTAGACCATCAGTTTGAGCCTGGCCCCTAAACTGGAGCTCATCATCTTCTGGATGTACAGTATCTTCTTCTCTTTCAAAGACAAGACTTCACAGCTGGTAATGAATTTGCTGGCTATGAATTTCCTTTGCCAACGTGAAAAGCAAACAATCCATCTCTCAACAAAAACAACTCACTGGTTTTCACAAAGGCTCTTCACTGAAAAATATGATTTGATGCTGCAAACATCCTACATCACTCTTTTAAGAAAACACTGGCTAGCGATTCAGTTTACAAAACGTCTTCCAGGCCGGCTGTGGTTCTCCCACATTCACCTCTGTGGAAAGCAGTGCATCCTCCAGGGATGCTGCCGGGCGCTGGGCGTGCATGCTCCCAGCGCACCATCCACCGACACGCCACACTTCCCAGAGTCAGGACGTCAGGAAGCAGCACCACGATTTCAGGTGTCCTCATCCATCCCCGCTACACTCGTCTGATTCAGTCTGCGACTTTTGCAGTCACCAAGAGAAAAACCACGGAAAACCGCCTTAGGCGCTGACGCTCCGAACTCGCGCAGCGGCAGCCGGAGGAAAACACGGGGGGACGCACCGCTCCCAGGGCCGCCCAGGCC